CTCAAACCTTTTACTTACCTCACATCCTCGATAAGCAGCAGTCTGTTCACCAGTTACAGCTTTTCATTTTAACTTCTTTCCCATATTTCCCTGATCATCAAACCATGTTTTAGTCATAAAGGTTGAATTAAAAAGACTATTTTAAAGATATTTTCTAGTAAAAACTAAATGTCTCTAAATGAAACAGGATTACAATGACTTGATGCTTAGATATGTACTAAGGTCTGCAGAGCAGATCAGGTCAAAGGTCATGTCTTGTTACAGCTCCGTCTGATTGTGACGCTACCAGCTTGTTGGACGGTGTCCCGCTAGTCCTCTTCCTGCCTAACAGACCAACCAGTCAGAGTGATGGTAAACTGGTTTCTGTGGTCAGTGGCCTGGTCATGCAGCAGTTCTACACTTCATGGTAGCAGGGAGGATGTAGGAAATGTGGGGCCCTAGGCAAAGACAGGCAGGGGGCCCTCTGAATGGAGAAGCCAACACATAGAACAGCCCCATTCTCCAGATAGAGAAATGTTAATAGAATAGACATCCATTATCTGTTCTAGGTTTTGTCCCTCTCTTCTTGTCCCTTTTCTGAACTCTTCTGGACCGAGATGTCTGATGTATTTCCAGGGATCTGCTGTTAGGGGGCCACACTGCCCTGAGGGCCCCAATGACCACGGTACCACTGATGCCTTGACCTTCCAGGCAATATAAATATATAAATGATTACCTGACAGGCCCCCAATCATTCAGTCTTTAGATTTAGTCCCGGGCCCAGCCTTGGCTGTCAGCTGACCTGAGCAGATGTGACGTCAGCGTGCGCTCTGGCATTCAGTGACCATGGAAACAGCCTCCCATCACTGTGGCTCAGTGAGGGCCAGGGGCCCCCAGGTGCTGCACTAAAGTGTGCAGCAGGTTCCCTAACTGCTGCTGAAACCATTAATCAATGGTTACAGACTCTTCTTTCATTTCCTTTAAATAAATCAGCAGTTTGTTCAGTGATTCTGTCAGTGATATTAGGAAAAGAAGCAGTGGGAGATTCAGATCCACCCCCGGCCTGCAGGGGGCAGCAGCTGGCAGCGGAGCGGCCATACGCCATGACAGGAAGCAGCAGCTGAGCGACCGGCGATGGATTCTTCCAGAAGGTAAAATGTCCTAAAATAGTCCGATAGTGGTGGGTCCGTTACCGGCGCTGCGTGGAGCCCACGGAGCCAAACACGTGACCGATCCAGCAGCTGTTTCTAACTGACTGAGTCACTAAAGGGTTTAAAATCTGTCACCATGATGAATCTGTTAATAATGTTTCATCTTTTATCGCTAAAATGATCCAGAATGTTGGAGCCTCAAAGGAATAGAAACGTTTTTATTTACATTTTCTGTTTTTTTCATCCTTTTCCTCTCAGTTTTCACTGAACTTATCTGAATTAAAGTTCATTTCTAATCTACTCTTAGTTTATTTACTGTTTTTACTGAACTCATTGATTTAAATCCTGGTCCAGCAGCTTCCTCATTTCCCCCTAAATATTAACCTAATATGGTAACATTATTTATTGGCTGCATTTAAAAATATCAGATATTTTCAATTTAAATATAGATATGAAATAATAGAATAGAACCTCCAGTAACTGAACAGAAGCGTGTTGCATTCACAAAAGAAATAAAAAAAAATCAGACAGTTTATCTCATAATTCTGAGCTCTTATCTTAGTATTTGGTTATAATTATTGGATCCAGTAATGAAGCATCTCTTCATGATTAAAATCTCCGCATCTGTTCCACTGATCTGTTCCCAGGTATGAGCCGATCGCTCCTGTTTTCCACTTCATCTATAAAGTCTGCAGCTCTAACCCTGGATTACTGCCTGCAGCCTTATGACCACACGCATAAATTCATCCACAGCTCCATTAATCCAGATTCTGTTTGGTTTCAGTTTTTCATAGGAACCGACATGCTGCATGAAGTTGGGACCTGGTCGTTTTAAATGATCAGCTGTTCTACTTGAGGATCCAGGATTCTGAGAAGGTTCTTAGGGACGCCACCAAACATTTCAGATGCATTCATTTAAAACCATAAAGCATCTCATGCTGGTTTGATTGCTCCTGCAGGAACAGTGAGGTTAACAGAAAGTCAGAAGTGAACTTCTTCAACTAAACAATCCTAAGGAGTTACTGCACAATGCTGACAAGCTAAAACCAATTCCATCCACTTTGAGGAAACTCAGTATTTCCCAGCATCCCAAACCTAAAAGGAAATAAAAGCAGATTAAATCCAACGCTCATTGTTCATGTTTCATGTAGCGTAGCTCAGCAATGACTGTCCTTCCTAATCTTATAATTATGAGATAAGCTGTCAGCTTTTTTTTTTCTTCGGTGAATGCAATACGCTTCCATATACAGGTGCTGGTCATAAAATTAGAATATCATGAAAAAGTAGATTGATTTCAGTAATTCCATTTAAAAAGTGAAACTTGTATATTATATTCATACATTACATACAAACTCATATATTTCAGATGTTTATTTTGTTTAATTTTGATTATTACAAATGACAACAAATGAAAATCTCAAATTCATCATATCAGAAAATTAGAATATTACTGAAGACCAATAAAAACAAAGGATTTATAGAAATGTTGGCCAACTGAAAAGTATGAACATGAAAAGTATGAGCATGTACAGCACTCAGTATTTAGTTGGGCCTCCTTTGGCCTGTATTACTGCAGCAATGCGGCGTGGCATGGAGTCGATCAGTCTGTGGCACTGCTCAGGTGTTATGATAGCCCAGGTTGCTCTAATAGTGGCTTTTAGCTCTTCTGAATTGTTGGGTCTGGTGTATTGCATCTTCTTCTTCACAATACCCCATAGATTTTCTATGGGGTTAAGGTCAGGAGAGTTTGCTGGCCAATTAAGAACAGGGATACCATGGTCCTTCAACCAGGTACTGGTAGCTTTGGCACTGTGTGCAGGTGCCAAGTCCTGTTGGAAAATGAAATCTGCATCTCCAAAAAGTTGGTCAGCTGCAGGAAGCATGAAGTGCTCTAAAACTTCCTGGTATGTGGCTGCGTTGACCCTGGACCTCAGAAAACACAATGGACCAACACCAGCAGATGACATGGCACCCCAAACCATCACTGACTGTGGAAACTTTACACTGGACTTCAAGCAACGTGGATGAAGTGCCTCTCTTCTTTTCCTCCAGACTCTGGGACCTTGATTTCCAAAGGAAATGCAAAATTTACTTTCATCAGAGAACATGACTTTGGACCACTCACCAGCAGTCCAGTCCTGTTTCTCTTTAGCCCAGGCAAGACGCTTCTGACGCTGTCTGTGGTTCAAGAGTGGCTTGACACAAGGAATGCGACAGCAGAAACCCATGTCTTTCATACGTCTGTGTGTGGTGGTTCTTGAAGCACTCACTCCAGCTGCAGTCCACTCTTTGTGAATCTCCCCCACATTTTTGAAGGGGTTTTGTTTCACAATCCTCTCCAGGGTGCGGTTATCTCTCTTGCTTGTACACTTTTTTCGACCACATCTTTTCCTTCCCTTCGCCTCTCTATTAATGTGCTTGGACACTGAGCTCTGTGAACAGCCAGCCTCTTTAGCGATGACCTTTTGTGTCTTGCCCTCCTTGTGCAAGGTGTCGATGGTCGTCTTTTGGACAACTGTCAAGTCAGCAGTCTTCCCCATGATTGTGTAGCCTATAGAACTAGACTGAAAGACCATTTAAAGGCTTTTGCAGGTGGTTTGAGTTAATTAGCTGATTAGAGTGTGGCACCAGGGGCCATCAATTTTGAACCTTTTCACAATATTCTAATTTTCTGATATGATGAATTTGAGATTTTCATTTGTTGTCATTTGTAATCATCAAAATTAAACAAAATAAACATCTGAAATATATGAGTTTGTATGTAATGTATGAATATAATATACAAGCTTCTCTTTTTAAATGGAATTACTGAAATCAATCTACTTTTTCATGATATTCTAATTTTATGACCAGCACCTGTAAATATCATTGTTCCAGGTCATCAAATCAGTTCAGTTTATTCTGTCCAATCTGCTGCCTGCAGTGTCTTTAAATGTCCAGCAGGGGTCAGTATTCTGAGAGACAGAATCAATGCAGCATCAGCAGTTTGGCTTCCAGATGCCTGATAGATCACTGATAGTCTGAGAACAGGATGAGGAGTCTGACAGAGGATGGTTGGAGGTTTATGGGTGGGATGGCGGCTGGAGGAGGTGAGGAGGCGGAGGAGGAGGAAGGGGAGAATCATCCTGAAACTGAAGGTCTGAAAGGAGGAGAGGAGGTCACACTCTTCCTCCTCCTCTTCCTCCCGGTTGGTGGAGGTGTTAAAGTGAGACTGAGGGGAGGTGGTGCGTTCAGGAACACTTTTCTATGAAGATCTAAGCCTCTCAGTTTGGGAGACGATGATGATGATGATGATGATGATGATAATGATGATGAAGCAGCTGCTGTGGACATCAGCTGATGGAGAAGCTTCATCTGCAGCAAACAGCCACCTGATCCAGGCCTGATGGACCATCGTCTCCATGGAGATTCGTCCAAAGCTTTCAGCACAAACATCTCCAGCAGAACCGAGGAAGAGGATGGAGAAGATGAAGATGTTGCTGTGATGAAGATGAACCAGGCGATGGAGAATCCTCTGCTGCCAAAGATGGTGCTGAACAACGGTAACATCTGCTTCAGCAGGAAGCTGCAGACCCAATGACCTCACTTCCTGTTTAGAGCTGAAAACCAATCGGTCGCCATTTCTCTGCGTCAGCAGCTAACCTCTGGGCCAATCAGCAGCACTGAGGGCCGCCGTTCAGGTGGGGATCAGAACTGTCTTGGTTCTGGTTCTGTTTTGTGGATTTGTTTTTCGGTTTTTATTCATTTCTGCAACAGAAATAAAAAGATGGTGGAACTCGGCACCAAGGTTCTGGTGCATATGGAGAAGGTTCTGATTGGTTCTGTTTCTACCCAGAAAGAGACCCGGATCCCCAGAGAGGCAGCAGGACTGGTTCTGCCAGAACAGGTCAACGTTCTTACCCGTTCGCTTCCTTTAGAGATGAACTGCAGAGCCCTGGATGAGGAGCGGTTCTGTCGGTGCTGCCGTCTGATCCTCCGGCGCTCCGACCAGCTGAGGGACGGCTGGAGCTGGGAGGCGCTTCAGGTGAGGCGTCGCTCCGTCTCTGGCGCCGAACGCAGCCGGAACCGTAACACAACCGTTCTCTGTGTCTGCAGGGCTCAGAGGGCTACCTGAGGAAGACCACGCTCCGCCACCTCCCCGCTGGCTGGGGGCCCGAACAGGACGGGGGGGAATCTCCGGGAGCGGAACCAGCGGCCCTGCAGGTGGGTTGATCTACGATCAGCTGAAGATGAGCAGGTCTGATGGTCTGAGCTCCACTCTCTGTTCTGGGTTACAGCCGGATCCGCTGGTCTCCACTGCTTCTGAGGAAGAGGATGCTGACCTCAGGTTGCCTAGCAACAGCAGCAGCCCGGTTCTTCAGTGGGAGTACCACATCCTGTACTCCTGCAGCTACGCTACGCCTGTTCTCTACTTCAGAGCCTTCACTCTGGGTCCGTCACTCATCAAACCTTTATCCTTCATAGATAATTTATCGATCTGTCTTTTTTTTGCTTAATTGATGAATCAGGCAAAAAATATTCAGAATTTTAACATCTTTATTCCAAAAATAAACAATTTTGACAGAGAAAACAAGCTAACAAATTACAAGTTGCTCCTTAACTCTACTGTTACATGAGGAATGTTGCTGCTTCTGCAGAATAAAAAGAAAACAGGAAAGTTTTGGTTCACAAAAAACAAAGAGGAATTTTACTTTTTTAAAGGCCCGCGTTGTTTCAACAATAGGAAGAAAACTGTTTCAACATTAAAGGAAAAGTCGCTCATATTCAGAATTCAAACTTCTGAAAGTTCTTTAAATCTGAAATGATTCCATCCTGTTCAATAAATGATCAGTGTTTTTAATTCAGAGTAATTTTCATGTGAATGTGCTTTACTGGAGGCATCCATGTTTGTCAAAGAACACTACTGCCACCTACTGGTTAGTGACGTCACGGTGCGGTATCGGCTGTTGATCAAGTCCCAGTGCTGTATCTCAGGGGAGATGGCGCTAGGCAGCATGGATGTAAACAGGGCGCTAAGGAAGCAGGAAGTGACCATCTGTTAGCGCTGCGTGGATGTAAACACGGCGCTAAGGAAGCAGGAAGTGACCCGCTGTTAGCGCTGCGTGGATGTAAACATGGCGCTAAGGAAGCAGGAAGTGATCCGCTGTTAGCGCTGCGTGGATGTAAACACGGCGCTAAGGAAGCAGGAAGTGACCCGCTGTTAGCGCTGCGTGGATGTAAACACAGCGCTAAGGAAGCAGGAAGTGACCCGCTGTTTGCGCTGCTTTGATGTAAACACGGTGCTAAGGAAGCAGGAAGTGACCCGCTGTTAGCGCTGCTTTGATGCGTGGATGTAAACATGGCGCTAAGGAAGCAGGAAGTGATCCGCTGTTAGCGCTGCGTGGATGTAAACACGGCGCTAAGGAAGCAGGAAGTGACCCGCTGTTAGCGCTGCGTGGATGTAAACACAGCGCTAAGGAAGCAGGAAGTGACCCGCTGTTTGCGCTGCTTTGATGTAAACACGGTGTTAAGGAAGCAGGAAGTGACCCGCTGTTAGCGCTGCTTTGATGTAAACACGGCGCTAAGGAAGCAGGAAGTGACCCGCTGTTGGCGCTGCGTTGATGTAAACACGGCGCTAAGGAAGCAGGAAGTGACCCGCTGTTAGCGCTGCGTTGATGTAAACACAGTGCTAAGGAAGCAGGAAGTGACCATCTGTTAGCGCTGCGTGGATGTAAACACGGCGCTAAGGAAGCAGGAAGTGACCCGCTGTTAGCACTGCGTTGATGTAAACACAGTGCTAAGGAAGCAGGAAGTGACCCGCTGTTAGCGCTGCGTGGATGTAAACACGGCGCTAAGGAAGCAGGAAGTGACCATCTGTTAGTGCTGCATTGATCTAAACACGGTGCTAAGGAAGCAGGAAGTGACCCGCTGTTAGCGCTGCGTGGATGTAAACACGGCACTAAGGAAGCAGGAAGTGACCTGCTGTTAGCGCTTTGTGGATGTAAACACAGCGCTAAGGAAGCAGGAAGTGACCTGCTGTTAGCGCTGCGTGGATGTAAACACAGCGCTAAGGAAGCAGGAAGTGACCCACTGTTAGCGCTGCTTTGATGTAAACACGGCGCTAAGGAAGCAGGAAGTGACCATCTGTTAGCGCTGCATTGATGTAAACACGGCGCTAAGGTAGCAGGAAGTGACCTGCTGTTAGCGCTGCGTGGATGTAAACACGGCGCTAAGGAAGCAGGAAGTGACCCGCTGTTAGCACTGCGTTGATGTAAACACGGCGCTAAGGAAGCAGGAAGTGACCCGCTGTTAGCGCTGCGGGCATGTAAACATGGCGCTAAGGAAGCAGGAAGTGACCCGCTGTTAGCGCTGCGTTGATGTAAACACGGCACTAAGGAAGCAGGAAGTGACCTGCTGTTAGCGCTGCGTGGATGTAAACACGGCGCTAAGGAAGCAGGAAGTGACCCGCTGTTAGCGCTGCTTTGATGTAAACACGGCGCTAAGGAAGCAGGAAGTGACCATCTGTTAGCGCTGCATTGATGTAAACACGGCGCTAAGGTAGCAGGAAGTGACCTGCTGTTAGCGCTGCGTGGATGTAAACACGGCGCTAAGGAAGCAGGAAGTGACCCGCTGTTAGCGCTGCGTTGATGTAAACACGGCGCTAAGGAAGCAGGAAGTGACCCGCTGTTTGCGCTGCTTTGATGTAAACACGGTGCTAAGGAAGCAGGAAGTGACCCGCTGTTAGCGCTGCTTTGATGTAAACACAGCGCTAAGGAAGCAGGAAGTGACCTTCTGTTAGCGCTGCATTGATGTAAACACGGCGCTAAGGAAGCAGGAAGTGACCCGCTGTTTGTGCTGCTTTGATGTAAACACGGTGCTAAGGAAGCAGGAAGTGACCCGCTGTTAGCGCTGCGTTGATGTAAACACGGCGCTAAGGAAGCAGGAAGTGACCTTCTGTTAGCGCTGCATTGATGTAAACACGGCGCTAAGGAAGCAGGAAGTGACCCGCTGTTCGCACTGCGTTGATGTAAACACGGCGCTAAGGAAGCAGGAAGTGACCCGCTGTTAGCGCTGCATTGATGTAAACACGGTGCTAAGGAAGCAGGAAGTGACCTGCTGTTAGCGCTGTGTGGATGTAAACACGGCGCTAAGGAAGCAGGAAGTGACCCGCTGTTAGCGCTGCATTGATGTAAACACGGCGCTAAGGAAGCAGGAAGTGACCCGCTGTTAGCGCTGCATTGATGTAAACACGGCGCTAAGGAAGCAGGAAGTGACCCGCTGTTAGCGCTGCATTGATGTAAACACGGCGCTAAGGAAGCAGGAAGTGACCTGCTGTTAGCGCTGCATTGATGTAAACACGGTGCTAAGGAAGCAGGAAGTGACCCGCTGTTAGCGCTGCATTGATGTAAACACGGCGCTAAGGAAGCAGGAAGTGACCCGCTGTTAGCGCTGCATTGATGTAAACACGGCGCTAAGGAAGCAGGAAGTGACCCGCTGTTAGCGCTGCATTGATGTAAACACAGCGCTAAGGAAGCAGGAAGTGACCCGCTGTTAGCGCTGCATTGATGTAAACATGGCGCTAAGGAAGCAGGAAGTGACCCGCTGTTAGCGCTGCATTGATGTAAACACGGCGCTAAGGAAGCAGGAAGTGACCCGCTGTTAGCGCTGCATTGATGTAAACACGGCGCTAAGGAAGCAGGAAGTGACCCGCTGTTAGCGCTGCATTGATGTAAACACGGTGCTAAGGAAGCAGGAAGTGACCTGCTGTTAGCGCTGTGTGGATGTAAACACTGCGCTAAGGAAGCAGGAAGTGACCCGCTGTTAGCACTGCGTTGATGTAAACACGGCGCTAAGGAAGCAGGAAGTGACCCGCTGTTAGCGCTGTGTGGATGTAAACACTGCGCTAAGGAAGCAGGAAGTGACCCGCTGTTAGCGCTGCGTGGATGTAAACACGGCGCTAAGGTGTCGGATGTCGGCGTGTTCAGATGTCCTTACTGTAGCTTCTGCTCTTCTGCCTCAGATGGAAGGAGTCTGACGTTAGAGGAGATGTGGAAATCCATCCATCCAAACTTCGGGCTCCGCCTTCAGAACTGTCCTCTGAACGCAGTGAGTCAGCAGGTAAGAATCGGCAGCAGCTTCCAGTCCATCTGGGTCTCTGAAGTTCTGCTGAAAGCTCTCTCGGTCTGACAGGAGCACCCCCTGCTGGGTCAGCCTTTCTTCTTCCTCCACCCGTGTAGAACAGAGGAGTTCATGGGGCCCGTGCTGCAGGCGGCTCTGGACCATGGCAGGTACGCTCATCCTGGGTTCTGGGTCCATGAAGGTCCAGTGAGGTTCTATCTAGAGACATGGACCTGAATCAGCTGCCGGTTCCTGATGGGACCGGTCTGGGACTGGTTTTGTGAAAGTCTGAATTTCTGGAGCTGTCACGGTGACCTTTGACCCTCTGTTTCCATTGCCAACAGGTCGGTGAACTATGTCTTATCCTGGCTCAGCGTGGTGGGGCCCATGGTGGGGTTGGAGGTTCCTCTAGAGTACTCCACAGAACTTCACGCTGCCGGGTGCCTCAGCAGCACCGACCCAGACTGATGGTCCAGCTGCTCCTGAAGATGTCAGGGACCCTCTGCGGCCTTCCAGAACCTCTTGTCCTACACTGGATTGACTGTACTGAGTACTAGTTACCCCGGGTCACTTGTTGTCTGTGGTTCTGGTGATGATCACCACAGTCCAGATCCTTCTGCTGGTTGGTGTCAGGATGTGTTGGTTCTACAGAACTCTGACCCGTACTGAATAAATGAGGCCTGGTTTACAATGATGCTGATGGTTCTGTTCGTCTCTCAGACTCGATAAATAAAAATGTCTTCAGAGAACCCATCTCTGGTTCTGGTTCTTGTTTCCCGTGTGGTCAGTGACTCTTCATGGTTCCAACACTCAGGGCCATGTTAAATCCAGATGTGTTGGTTTCTGTCCAAATGGTGACAGGTTCTAGACAGGTCCACAAGCAACAGAACCAAACAGGAGAACAGTGACTAGAACCTGGGTCAGAGGGAACCTTCAGGCTGACAGGTTGATGGAGCAGCAGACGGATCAGATCCTCTAGGATCATCAACTCATCAACACTGGGGGGGGGGGGGGTCTGGGGGCCTGTTCCCCCATGGAGGTTGGCCCCCAGACCGGGGAGGACAGGTTGTGTATGACGAGTGTGGGAAAATGATTAGTGTCCCTGTGTGCTTCTCTGATGGCATGAATACGTCAGCAGGGTGTAAGGAGAGAATGACTGGGTGAATGTCACTGGTTTAAAGGGGATCACTGGTTTAATGGGGGTCACTGGTTTAATGGGAGTCACTGGTTTAATGGGAGTCATTGGTTTAATGGGAGTCACTGGTTTAATGGGGGTCACTGGTTTAATGGGGGTCACTGGTTTAATGGGAGTCACTGGTTTAATGGGGGTCACTGGTTTAATGGGAGTCACTGGTTTAATGGGGGTCACTGGTTTAATGGGAGTCACTGGTTTAATGGGAGTCATTGGTTTAATGGGGGTCACTGGTTTAATGGGAGTCACTGGTTTAATGGGGGTCACTGGTTTAATGGGAGTCACTGGTTTAATGGGAGTCACTGGTTTAATGGGGATCACTGGTTTAATGGGGGTCACTGGTTTAATGGGAGTCACTGGTTTAATGGGGGTCACTGGTTTAATGGGGGTCACTGGTTTAATGGGAGTCACTGGTTTAATGGGAGTCATTGGTTTAATGGGGGTCACTGGTTTAATGGGGGTCACTGGTTTAATGGGGGTCACTGGTTTAATGGGAGTCACTGGTTTAATGGGGGTCACTGGTTTAATGGGAGTCACTGGTTTAATGGGGGTCACTGGTTTAATGGGAGTCACTGGTTTAATGGGAGTCATTGGTTTAATGGGGGTCACTGGTTTAATGGGAGTCACTGGTTTAATGGGGGTCACTGGTTTAATGGGAGTCACTGGTTTAATGGGAGTCACTGGTTTAATGGGGATCACTGGTTTAATGGGGGTCACTGGTTTAATGGGAGTCACTGGTTTAATGGGGGTCACTGGTTTAATGGGAGTCACTGGTTTAATGGGAGTCATTGGTTTAATGGGGATCACTGGTTTAATGGGAGTCACTGGTTTAATGGGGGTCACTGGTTTAATGGGAGTCACTGGTTTAATGGGAGTCATTGGTTTAATGGGGATCACTGGTTTAATGGGGGTCACTGGTTTAATGGGGGTCACTGGTTTAATGGGGGTCACTGGTTTAATGGGGATCACTGGTTTAATGGGGGTCACTGGTTTAATGGGGGTCACTGGTTTAATGGGGATCACTGGTTTAATGGGAGTCATTGGTTTAATGGGGATCACTGGTTTAATGGGAGTCACTGGTTTAATGGGGGTCACTGGTTTAATGGGAGTCATTGGTTTAATGGGGATCACTGGTTTAATGGGGGTCACTGGTTTAATGGGAGTCATTGGTTTAATGGGGATCACTGGTTTAATGGGGATCACTGGTTTAATGGGAGTCACTGGTTTAATGGGGGTCACTGGTTTAATGGGAGTCATTGGTTTAATGGGGATCACTGGTTTAATGGGGGTCACTGGTTTAATGGGGGTCACTGGTTTAATGGGGGTCACTGGTTTAATGGGGATCACTGGTTTAATGGGGGTCACTGGTTTAATGGGAGTCACTGGTTTAATGGGAGTCATTGGTTTAATGGGGATCACTGGTTTAATGGGAGTCACTGGTTTAATGGGGGTCACTGGTTTAATGGGAGTCACTGGTTTAATGGGAGTCATTGGTTTAATGGGGATCACTGGTTTAATGGGAGTCACTGGTTTAATGGGGGTCATTGGTTTAATGGGGATCACTGGTTTAATGGGAGTCACTGGTTTAATGGGGGTCATTGGTTTAATGGGGATCACTGGTTTAATAGGGATCACTGGTTTAGGGGTTTCCCAGTTGATGTTTGATGATCAGAACCAGTGGCGGCCGGCCCATAGGGGGCGCTGGGGCACCGCCCTCCCTGATAAGAAGAGAGAAACGTAAAATATATTTTTAGAAATTAACTCATAAATGTCAGTTTTACTCTCTAGAGTGTGTGCCTATAAGCAAAACAAATTATATAAACTACATTTCCCTATCTACTGTCATTAATTTGTGGATTTCCACAGACAGACTCCTACCGTCTCTGTTCTGGGGGCGCTGATCAGACTGACCCACATTTGCAGAGAATCTGTCAATCATGTACTATTGCTAGGTGAATTTAATGGCCAATCAGCGTCTCAGAACTTTATGGTCTTGGGGCGCTGAAAATACTGCGCTTTAACAGGCTTCTGAACCCAAGCGCAGGTGCAGACAATTAGAGGGAAGATGGCGAACGTAACGAACGAGATGCAGCTTCCACCAAATTCGGTGAGATCCTTATTTATCTACCCGTTTGCCGGAAGAACATCCCTGTTGTAGGTAGGGTTGGGAATTGAAAAGATTTTCACGATTCCCTTTTCGATTCTATGAAACGATTCAATTCTTTATCGATTCTTTTTTCGATTCCAATTTGGGGAAAAAAGGAGAACAAACAGTTTGATTATCAGCATCAACTTTGTTTACTTAACTATTGCGCAATCTTACAAACTCAACAAGATCAAGATGTCCACAGGAAATGTGAAACTGGAGTAACAAAATGAATACAAGAACAAACTTAATAACCAACAATGTCTAATAACAAATGATGGGATAATAACCTATTTTAAATAACAAAAAATACTAATTATAAAACAGTAGTAGGGAAAATTAACAGTTCTTTTGCAGAAAGATGAGCATATCTGCTTTTTCTGGAAGGATACGGGATCTTTCAGCGCTTAAGGTGTCTCCAGCCCTCTGGGCTAAGGAAAGACGTGGCTTTGATTCACAAAGTGAATCCAACTTGCGTAACTTGCGTAAAAAACGTGACGTAAGTCGTGCTTCCCAGAGCCGGCGCTCTAGGCTCTGGTGCTGCGGGAATCGAAAAAAGAATCGTTCAGCGAGCTGCCAAACGATGCCATGGAATCGGAAAATACGGAACCGGTTCTGAACAGGAACCGGTTTTCGATTCCCATCCCTAGTTGTAGGATATGAAAATTTCATGTCATGGTTATTGTGACTGTGCGCGCCACACACACATTCCTGTTATACTGTGTTTGTGAGGACCAATCCGCTCGCGCTGAGCCCAGTAGCTCCATGAACTTAAAACACACAAGCTGTTCCTGGTTACCTGCTGGCGTATTGAGGGTGCACACTTAATATTTCAGTGGGGTTAGCCGTGTGTGTGTGGGTGTGTGGTGGGTGTGGGTGTGTACGTGTTTATGCTACGGGGACTTGTCATCTTCAGTCTGGCTGCGTCTTTGCTGGGTTCAAACCCAGTTTGGTGTAATTGAATAAGTCAATGAATCTGTGTAAAGGAATTAAGTTGTAAAAATGATTTGTTTTTGTATATCAACTGTTTGTGGAGGTAATATATGGACAAAACTGATTCATGAGAAGAAATCAGAAATAAGAGAGCCTGAGGGGAGGGGCTTAAACTATTTAATGAGGGCTGTGGGAAGAAAAGTGGCCATTTTTGTTTTCTGTTTCTTTGTTACATTGCTGGTAACTGGAAGGAGGCTGAGGCCCAGAGGATCTTGTACATGTTTAGTTTCTTTTGCACCCTGTTTTGAGTTTTTGAGCACAATAAATCACCAACACCGGTAACCCGACTGAGACTGGATTCTTGGAGGCCAAAGAACCCCGTCACAGTGACCCAAATCATCACTGTTACTGTTATTATATAGTAAATTAAATCATTACTGTTAAATTGTTTTTCATTTCCAATTGTTTATTTGAATTCTTAGTCCGGATTAGTTGGAGACATACACTAGACTATATCAGCCCCACCAAAAATATTTTTCACCAGCCGCCACTGATCAGAACCATCACCCTTAGGATGGTTCTTTGACTTCGTGTTGGACCAATCAGAGGAACCAGTCTGATCATTCATGAGGATGTTTATAACCAGTTGTATAACAATAGTTACAGATCTATAGATATGTTTATGAACTTTTTTATAAAAAAAACATTTTCATCATATATTAGCAGAGCACGACAGAAAGACACATAAACTACATTGACTACTTTAATAAACTTTTTACTGTATTTCAAAGCATTGATCGATAATGATGTGATGTTGTGGTAATGACCTCTGACCCCAGACGCAGCCATTGATCATCCTGAAAGGTCAGAATGACTCAGCGCTTTCCTCAGCACCATCCATCAGCCTGATGGTGGTCTGTCCCAGTCAGCATCCCATCCCCTGCAGGGACCTCTGGCCACCAGCAGATGGCGGCAGCAGCCAACATGTTAGGAGATATCTATATTCACTGGATTGCTGATTGCCCGAAAAAAAGTGAGTTCACCGTCCGCCATATTGGTACTCCCTCTACACTCCCACATGGACGTGCAGTAAATTATCTCCCTGTGCAGAATTTGGCTGAGAAAACAAGCAGTTTGCTGTTGGAAGACGTTCCACAGGTAATTTCTCAGTCAGCGTCAGAGTGAGCGTACATATTTGTATGTATAGTTTTTGTTCAAATTATCAGATTCTTGTTGTAACTAAAAGAAAAATATTAACTTTATGTTGCCTTTTATTTTACCAAATTATGTGATTTTGCTGGTGTAGAAACTGAAGCTGTATTTGTAGAAACTGAAGCTCTATTGTAAATCTGTCAGATTTAAAGTCTAATGCACAGACACAGCATAAAGTATATTGCATCATGCATGCACATTCTGCAAATAGAAAAATACTACAGCATCAAAAGATGTGCTTCTAATTCAGTATTTATGTAAAATCTTAAAATCACATGTAAGATGTAATTACCATAAGAATGTAACAAATGCATGTATATTACATTAACATAATTAATTTATCAGTTTTGGCTCATCTTTATTATTCTGCTGCATAAACACATAGATTTTATTGTGATGGATTGTATAACATGTTATATTACATGATTTATAGACTCATTGACTTCATAATGACTCTGTAATGTGATGTTTATTATAAGGTGTGAAGAAGCAGCTGTTTTTTCTGAGGGAAGCGTTACGGTGCTGCGGGTGAAAAGGCAGATTTGAGTTTCCTAAACTTCTGAGGTCTTTCTTCCAGTTTTCCTTCTGAGTTTCTGTTCTTCAATGACAGACTGTTTTCTGACTCTCTGCTCCTCACGGTTGGTTTCTGGCTCTGACTGCACCTGCAGAAAACCTCAGACAGTCTCTGACCTCCAGAGGTTTTCCTGCCATCAGCAACTTTCTCTCTTCAGGACTCCGACACATGATGGAAAACGTCCTTGAAGCAACGTTTGAACCCAGGCTGTCCTCCTCCCACCTCAGCATCTCCTGTCATCCCTCCATCATCCTCTCTGTTCCCTCTTGTTTGCTCACCTTGGCTCTCTGGCTCTGTGCCCTGTAATCCATCCAACCTCCTCTGTGAGGAGACGCTGAGGAGAAAACAACCGCGTTAGATCAGTGCAGGGATTAAAGCATCCAGGTTTTGCCGTGCTTTCTGCGTTCCTTTTAGCCTTTAACAAGGTCATGCATGTTCTGAATTATCACATTTACACTGACTTCTAGCAAACTGCCAGAAGACAGGAGAAACTTGGATTGTTGAGCTTTTCCTCAGAACCAACCCAGTCATTGTTTCTGAAGCTCAGAAATGTTTTCTCCCTCATTAAATGTTTTTGATTAACTGATTTATAAAATGGTAATCTTGCTTCATGCAGTAAAACCTTTCTGATATTTTCACTAAACTACATTAATCTATAATCTTATCAGGAGTTTTCTTGATTTCTAACCGTTTCGCTAAAGTTAGCAGTGTTTCTTCAGGCTACAGAAATGCGATTAGCATTAGCAGGTTTCCTTTAACTGGATCTTTCTCCTTTAACCTGACTATCAGAGGAAGAAGAGATATTTGAGTAAAAAGGGGCAACTCCTTGATTTGGTTATTTAATAAAAGTATTTCAACAAGAAAAAACTGAATACACCAAACAGAGGTATTGCTGGACTCCACTAAGCTAAACAGCTGCTTTATACTAAAGCATCACATGTTCTATGTTGTGTTTATTTTACCTGTGTTCACTACAGAGAAGAGCAGTCAGAAGCTCATTAGGTAGGTTTATATGTCCATCCAAATGACTGAATGTAGAAACTGTTGTGTAATAAAATCCCCTGATCTTGTTGATTTTTAAACGATGGCGCCACCAGGGGGGAGGGGTGGTGCCATCGTAAATGTTATGTTGCTGTTGCACAGCCAGCAACATAACATTTAAGTTATAGGGAAGCGGCTGTTCCAACCGTTGCATTTCCGAATTCTCCCAAGTGGTGCCCGACTTTACACGAGTGAATAATCTGAATGTGATTGGTCGATTATCCAGGGGGCGGGATTGTTGTGGCGCAACCTTTGCAAGAATTTTTGGTTGTGGCCGGTTTGTTGGAAGCATCTTGCTAACTAGTTAGCAACTTAGTGCTAGCAGGTTCCCAATGGGAAATTCCATTGGGACCAAGTAGCACTAAATTGGTGACTTAGAAACGACGCTGTCAAGGAACGCTATGGACAGCGGAAACATGCAAGAGGAGGAGAGTTTAGTGTCGGAGGTCGTGGATGAGTCTCCTCCGTCATCCATTTTTTATTTAGAGGAGGAAAGCGGGGACGAAGATGTTGTGGAAGAGGACGCCAGGGCGGCAGAAGCTTGGTTTGGTGTAGAAGGCTTCCAGCCGTACATGTTTGAGCCCTTGCCTCGCAACGCTGCCAGTTCTGTTAGCTCTACGCCTGCCGAAGACACAGACGTCCATCCCCGTGAACACTGGGACGCAACTTAATGGGAAAGGAAAGGATTCTGGTTTCAACCGTTGCGTATATTAGCTGCGACACATGAATCAAGATGCTATGACCGAAAACATTTGATTGACAGATGACCGTTGATATATGATTGGCCGAATTTAGGTGTTCAGGCTGACGTAGAACTAACTGGCCTGCAGAAGATAACGGAAAAAACACAGATTTTAAGCAAGGATTTTTTTTTTTTATAGAAATTTTCTAACTTTTGGTACAATATGGTCTGATAAAGAAAACATTTATATACATGTTTAAGCCAGATTGATTTGACATTTAAATATGATTTCCCTACAACTTTAAAAATCTCACAGTAAACCAGGATTTGAGGAGGTTTTACTGAAGTCTTTCTGATTTCTACAGGCAGGCAGGTACCACTATATTAGATTCAAACCCTGAAATTATGGCTTTTAGTTTCAGTGGCCAACCCAAGATTTTTAGTGGCCCCATCTGGCCCCTCTATGAAACATTTCCTTAGGCGCCATTGATTTCAAAGTTAATTTTCAAAGCCAGAAACTGACAACTACCAGCTGGTGATTGGCAGCTCCATAGTCAGATGTTTGCCGGAACGGGCGACATCAAATCCTACCTGAAACTGTTGGCTAAGGATAAGGTTAAATACAGTAAGATTGTTATTCACGCTGGCGGTAATGACACCCGGTTACGCCGATCGGAGGTCACTAAAATTAGTGCTTTGTTGTGTCAGTTTGCCAATGTCTGGCCTCTGGAGATAGCTTAAATGCAGCATTTAATGCTATCTTAGATGCTATTGACTTTGTTCAAAATGTGAATAGTCCCACACATTCTCATCTTCATACTTTGGATCTTGTGCTGACATACGGCATAGAATGTGAAAGTCTAGTCTAGAAAATAGTTTACTGCTGTATAAGGCAAGCAGGTTTACTAGTGGTTCCTAGAATTTCTAAAAGTAGAATGGGAGGCAGATCTTTTAGTCATCAGGCTCCTCTCCTGTGGAACCAACTACCAGTTTTAGTCCGTGAGGCAGACACCCTGTCTACTTTTAAGGCTAGGCTTAAAACTTTCCTTTTTGATAAAGCTTCTAGTTAGAGTGGCTCAGGTTATCCTGAGCTATCTCTATAGTTCTGCTGCTATAGGCTTAGACTGCTGGAGGACATAGGGACCCCTTTTTCATCATTCTGCTTAGTTCGAAAGAGAAGAAACACACAAGGACCACAAAATGGTGACGGGGGATGGAGGAGTCAGCAGATGAAGCTTAGAGGGAACAAACTGTTCTGGAGACATGAGGTCTGGGTCCTAACAGCCAAAGTCAGAAAGGAAAGGCTATAAAGGTGTTAGTCCAGGATGGGAGGGGTCTGTATGTCTCCTGATCCTGAAGATGGACAGTTTCTGGACAGACACAATCACTTCCTGTGAAGAGGTGCTCGTTTATTGTGATTCTCTTATAATAAGAATAATTCTGCTGTTTATTTATATGCCTGTAGAGTTTAGAATTAAAATGGTCAAATTGTTTAAGTGTTTTATTATTTAGAATGAGTTGATATCAGTTTAAATAACTGTGTTAGCTGAGCAAATGATATCGGATCAAATCCACCACACAGCAGTGAACTGGAAATCACAGTAACAATAACATAGTATTGTGATAAACCAGCATTTTTACACCCTAGCTATCTGGTTTTGACCATGACTATCTAAAAGGTAAAACGTTTTTAAAGCAATCTCCATAAAGGTCGTACCTCTAGCTGCCAATTTTATCTCCACTCTGCTGTCTTTCACAGGGACCGCTGCAGTAGATGAAAAGAGATTCTTTGTTTTTGGCCCTGAGGCCCTAAAGGACAATGTAAACAGAACAAATTAATTCACAACATGGGATGTTTACACAAAGGATTTCCTTCAAACGGAATTAAATGAGAAAACCGCACAACTGAAAGCTTAATGGGAGACGGAGATTACAGTAATTAGAAGATGAGAAGAAGAAGAAATACTTATTTGATAGATGATTTGAATTTAGGATAGAAAGCTCCGCTTGGTCCAGTCCTGATCCATTATAGAGCAGGAAAAATAGACACCTGATTTATAGGTGGAAAAAAGGCTAAATTCAATTCTATTCAGTGTATTTCTATAGCTCCAATTCACATCATGTCATCTCAGGTCACTTTCCAGTTCACCAGATCATCCAGTCAGATTGATTCAAAGTTTTCTATCCAAGGAAAACCAGCTGATTGCATCGACTCATTGACTCTTCAGCAATCCCTCACACTAAGCATGCTTGTAGCGACAGTGGAGAGGAAAAACTCCCTTTGAACAGGAAGAAACCTCCAGCAGAACCAGGCTCAGTGTGAGCGGCCATCTGCTGAGGCCCACTGGGGTTCAAGGAGACAGAAGCAGACATAGAAAAAGAAGCATAGATACAAAAGGC